TGGGTTTGGCCTTGCCATCGACATTTAAGGAGTGCTCGATCAAGTTCCGAGGTACACCGGGCATGTCAGCGGGTTTCCAAGCGAACACACTCACGTTGCTCCTCAAGAACCTAACGATCGCGTCTTCCTATTTAGGATCCAGGTTGGCCCCGATAAGGGCCGTTTTGCTGGGATCACCATCGACCAGCTGGATCGCTTTATGCTCTTTCGACTTGATGTTCTTGCGTGGGGCCTCGAGCTCTGGGATCTCTAGGTGGTCGGCTGGGGTCTTCTTAGCGTCGAGCGTGGTCTCGGCCATGCGAATAGAGAGGTCATGAGCCTCTGCTATTTTGAAGCTGTCATCCTCGCAGGTTTAAGCTGCGTATACATTGCCCCTGAGAGTTAGAACCCCCTTCTCAGTAGGCATCTTGAGCACCAAATACCTGTAGTGAGGTATGGCCACGAACTTGGTGAGCGCTGGTCTACCAAGGATAGCATGGTAGGTGCCTTCGAAGTCAGCGACCACGAAGTTGACGTAGTCGGTGCAGAAGTGGTCTGGGGTACCAAATTGCACAGGTAGCGTGATCTGCCCGAGAGGTGTGGAGCTCTGTGTGGGGAGAACACCCCAGAACTGTGCCTCGTATGGCTTGAGATCAGCTTGGGTTATCTTCAGGGCTGGCAAACTATTCTTGAACAGTATATCGATGGAACTGCCACCATCAATCAGCACTCTGTCGAACTGAACCTTGTTGATACAAGGATCGAGAACCAGAGGAAAATGCCCTGGCTCAGGTATTGCAGCCCATTGGTCCTTTCTGCTGAAGGAAATCTTGCGGTGAGACCAAGGAGGGAGCCGTGGATCGACGATGAGGTTGTTGGCGTTGGCCATGTTCAAGCAAGCGCGGGTGAGCAGCTTGCGTTCTCGTTTGGTCTCGATGGACACTTTGCCCCCAATGATGGTGTGGATGTAATCGGTTGGCTTGACGTACTTGTGACGGGGATCTGCGTCTTCATCGTCGTTGTCCTCGTTACGCTGCTCCCCTGCGTCGTTAGGCTTGTCGGATGTATCCGGAGCCTGTTGGCGTGTGTAGATAGATTTGAGAACACGGCAATTCTCCATGGTATGGTTTGACTTGGGATGGAGCTGGCAGGGTCCTTCAATGCTTTGGCATAGTCTTCTTCATAGTTGCGACGTCCGCCACCTTTTTTAATGGTGTTGACCTCGCCGTCGTCTTCCCAAGCACGCTTGCCCCTGTAATCCTCACGGCGATTACGCCGTTGATTATGCTGGTCGCGGTGGTCGCGGGAATCGTTGCGCTGGTTGCGGCGATCAAAATTGTCGTTCCGACCACGGTTGCTGCGGTAGTCGTCGCGGTGTGGGGGGTGGTCGGAGCGTGGAACCCTTGCTGCTTCTTCGATGATTATCTTTTTAGCATCATCGGCATCCGCATATTTTTTAGCAGTGGCTAGGAGCGTTGTGACTGATTCAGGTCTCTTGTGGAGGAGCTTTTCCCTTAGGGCATCGTGGAAGCGGAGACCAGTGATGAAAGCCTCGATTGCCTCATTGTCGGAGATTGACGGGACCTTGATGCGCATCTCCGAGAAGCGTCGGACGTACTCGCGCAGTGGCTCATCTTTGTGATCTCGAATCCGCTGCAGATCATATTTGTTGCCGGATTGCTCACAAGTAGCAATGAAGTTGTCGATGAATGCTTGCTTGAGCTCTTGCCAAGAATCAAAGTAGTTCGCCAGCAAGCTGACTAGCCATTGGTGGCCTGCATGGCCGACGGCGACTGGGAAGTAATTAGACATGACGTGCTCGTCAGCCATGGCTGATCTGCACGTGGTTTCGTAGAGCATGACCCATAATTCGAGGTTCTCCTTACCGTCGTACTTCTGAAGTTTTTCGAGCTTGAAGTTCTTGGGCCATATGACATGGCGAAGGTGTGGAGTAAACTGCTTCAAACCCGGAGGGCCGTGGGTAGTATCATATTCCATACGGCGATAGCTTTCATGGGATGCACGATTGTTGGCTCTTCGGTTAATGCGATCGCGCAGATCGCGTTCTCCGAGGGAATGGCGGGGATCGTTATTGCCATCACGGCGACCCCGATTGCCACCCTGGTTAACCCTGCGACCGTGGTTATCACGGCGATTGTTGCGGTTGTCTCGGCGGTTTTCATCCCGGTAGTCGCGGCGGTTGTGGTCCCTACCACCATCATGACCACCATTTCCGCCTTGACGGTTGTCTGATGGGTCGTTGTTGCGCGAGCCACGTTGGTTGGGTGGCTGTGAGCGACTTGAGTACTGGCGGCTGTGGCTTGATTCGACTAAGACGGATGGAGCCCGTGCTTGATTTACAATCTCTGCGGTCTGGGCCATAGCAGCCGTCAGGTAAGCTTGTATATCATCACGAACTGCCTGGATTTTTGGTGTATTGGGTAGTCGTTGCATTGTCGCCATAGCAATAGCTACGTTGGCGCTTGGAGTCCTGAAGACCAGCTTGTCCCCCACCCTGTCAAAGGCATTGTTAAGGTCATGTGGCTGGACCCTTATGCGTCGTGCCTCCTCTTCTGCCTCGGCTTTGACTTGTCGGCGATTAAACCGATCAATATTGCGTGCTTCGCGTGCCAGCCTTTCTTGTTCTATTTCGCCAACTGCCGGTGGTTCGTCATTACTGACAACATTGATCAAGTCTCCTCGCCTTGGTGGGAAGGATGGGAATCGTGGGAAACCCGGGGCGTGGTCTGGGATATCCAGATCGTATTCAACGCCTTCATTGTCATGATGCTGGAGCGCGGTGTGGACGGAGGCATTAGATGCGACGCCGGACGGGGAGCTTGAGCCACCCTCTTGAACTGTGTGGACCGATCCTTCTTGATACTCCTCAATCCGGACCATGTTGATGAAGTTGCGCAGGCCGTAGGGCTGAGCCTGGTAGTTCTCCATCGAGGCTTCGTACTCGGAGAGCCGGAGACCCGTCGCGGGGGCTGGCCGGTGACGAACGGAGCACCCTTCAGGAGTAGATGTGACCACGAGATCCGTACCGAGTCGTGTAGGACGACTGGCCCGAGCTGGTCGGGTAGATCTGTTGTGGGTAGTGGTTACCTGCTCATTAGGTTGACTTTGAATCGAACTTACCAGAGCTAGGGTTTTGGCAAGTTTGGTGCCGACCCGATCAATGGAGTCGAGCAGGTCGGTGTTGTCGATCTGTCTCCCTTTGTAGCGAGAAAGCAGACGACGGGTTATCGGCGTGGCTGAGACGATGCTGGCGTGGCCGGAGCCAGATCCACCGTGGTCGGAGCCGTAGCCGACGGAGATGAAGCAGTGGTCGACGCAGATTGAATCCGCGCCTCCTCCGTGGTCATGGCGATGAAGTCGTCGGAGCCAGTGGTCCAGGTGATCTGGCCAATGGTGAACGTGAGGCCGTTCGGCGTAGCCATGGAACCGGGGATGATGACCATCTTGTTCGTATGGAGAGTAGTACCCACACCCCCTACCTGGCGCGCCACTATCGACGAAATATGGTCAATAGTCTACCCAGGGGTATGCCCAAGGTAGTAGATTATCGGCAGGCAGATGCGCAAGCTACAAACAAGATGGTGACGCAAGACAGACATGAGGTTTTATCCAGGTTCAGCCGCCGTGAAGGCGTAATACCTACGTCCTGCGTCTGATTGTATTAATGTATGTCAATGAGAGATGTTTTGAGAGGGGTCCCCTGCCCGCCTTATATAGTCTGGGGAGCAGGGTTACAGATCTGGAAACTAATCCTAACCAGTTACAATTGCCATAGGTGGCCGGATAAGGATTCCTATTCTAACCGACCAGGATCTTGCTTGATCTCCAAGTCTGCCTTGATTCCTTGCCCGGGACTCCAAGCAAATTGGCCGGGCCGCGCTTCATCTTCTAGTGGGCCAGACCCTCTGGTCTGGGCCGGCCCAATCCTAGCCGTAAGGGTATAGGGGTTAATACCCCCACAGTTTTGTAGTTTGAGACTGAAAGAAGGACAGAACAAGTAGGCCCATACCCTAGCGTGAAAGAATCTTGATAGATTCCTAATCTGATGTTGGACTCAGACTCTCACTCACACCACCACCATCATTCCTCGCAGATTTCAACAATCATAATAAATAGAGAGGGCGGGTGAAAGCACCCACTCTAAGCCCTAACTATCAAACCCCTCTCGAGCCGAGGAGAGAAGAAGGGGAGAGAAAAGAGAAAATAGGCAACTAGCATGTAGACATGGACGCCAGCATGGCAGTAGTGGCGGTTGATGCAGCAATGGGAAACACCGGAAGAGAGCACCGCGTAGAGCATAGCGACCGCCTGTGACCACCAAGAGGGGGCGGATCCCTCAGATAAGGAGGCACGCCAAACCATGATGGTGCGGCCATCCCGCACATCAGCAGTGACATCAGTTGCCAGTGAAACGATGGGGAGATATAGACACAAAACCAATTTGACTATAGGTTTGTGATAGACCCGCACTACTACAGCTGGCCTTTGTAGGGCGGTTTACCCAGCTTCCCCTATGGAAGCGTGGCTACAAATCGCTGATTTATAGGGGCGGTTCGCCAGCCGTCCCTACAAATCCATTTTCCAGAAATCATTTGCGCGCAAAAAACGTGGCTGCCAGGTTCCAAACCCGCGACCTCAGGCTTGCTTGTCTCTAACCACTCCATCCAACACTCACTTGTGTCTATCTCAAATATTCTTTCTACTCATATTATGCTCAACCGAACTTAAAATGAGTGTTTGGAACTCTGAACAAATTCAAATGAAAAAGTTATCAACTATAAAGTTGCATAACTTTTCGAGATCTACCGCTTTCTTTTCGGGCTATCCCTCGATGAACGCCTGTCGTTGTACCGGCAGCAGGCTGCAGCTGTTTGACACAGACGCGACGACAATGACAATCACACACACATATGCCGTATGCCGTCCTGCCGTGTCGTCCAGGTCGACCGATCCCCGGCAGGCCGGTTATTGCAGCAGGCAGCGGCGCAGGGCAGGGAGAAATGGGGAAGGTCTCTGGGGAGGTCGTGGTGTTCTTCGTCGTCCTCCCTCTGATGTACACCTGCTTCTTTCTGGTGGGCATCCAGTTCGGGCGTTTGCTGGAGAGGGAGGCGGACAACAGCGGCGGCGTCGAATTCACCTGGCGAGGAGCACTCGACTACGTCACCAAGGTGATCGATCGATGGATCATATCGTCGACGATACCAATGGCTCCAGCTATAGCTACTGCTTGTTCATGCATGCATCATCTCCATCCATCAGTTACATATTCGTTGCTTGTGTTCGATCTCTTCTAGGGTAGAGAGGTGACTTGTTTCAGGAGCTTTGGGATATCATTGATTTGGGACGGCGACGAGGAGGCAGGCAGAATTATTTCTGGGTTAGTGGTGGAGTCACCAGATATATAATTAGGGTGTGGCATGCAATTAATAAGCGCATATCTATAAATAAAGTAGTACTAGCTAGTGTGTCATGCAATTTGGAATTACGTAAAGACAAAGGCAAAAACGACATTTCCTCACCTTTTCTTTCCTTAGATTTGAGAAAATTAATAAAATTGTTGTTTTGGTGTCGTATAGCAAATGATCATGGTTTAATGATGATATCTAGCAAATTTTGATGTTTGAGACGTGGACTAGCTAATTCTATCTTTGTTTCATAGCCAAAAAAAAAGTTGCTTATATATATATGAAGTAGTACTAGTAGCAGTACGTATGAATTATATATAAATAATGGATGGATCATGGAACCGGTGGACTGCTTTGCAGCCGAGGGGCGTGATCAGCGTGGGGCCGTGGGGTGGATCCGGCGGGCAGCCCTTCTACATGCGCGGCGCCAGCGCTCCTCGCCTTCGTAGCATCGTCCTCTACCATTCCGGCGCCGTCCACTCCCTCGCCTGCGATTACACCCTCGCCGGCGACTATGAGGGGCCGCCGCCCCGGGTGGCTGGTCCGTGGGGCCTCCCGCATTCCTACGGCTCCAGAGGAGCTCGTACCAAGGTACCGTACCGACCGCCCAGATAGATCATCTTTTCTTGCAATCCTTGTATGCATTTCGGTTGGTTTGCAAAGTTGCGCAAACCATATGAGAGTACGCTGGGTTGATTGACATGCATCTGTGAATTCTCTGTGCAGATCGACCTGCCTTCAGGTGAGCACATCACCGCAGTGGAGGGGACGACGGGGCACTTCGCGAACGTCCTCGGCGTGGTGATCACCTCGCTGACGTTCCGCACCAGCTCCGGCAGAACGTACGGGCCGTACGGCAGCGTGGCCGCAGGGTCGCACTACTTCTCCGTCCCGGCGGCGGACGGCGCCTGCATCGTCGGCTTCTGGGGACGCTCCGGCCTCCGGCTGGCTTCTCGACGCCATTGGGGTTTACATGAAGCCTTCTTGCTCATCATCGTCATCAGACACGGCGACTCCTGCCAGCAAGAAGGTGAAGGCTGTTGCAGGCGTTCCGGCGCCATAAGAACCAAGGTGGTCAGCAAAGATGTAACTATCGTAACTTCAAGTTTAATTTGTAGTGGGGCCATGTTGGCCAGTGCTACGAGGGCTCCTGTAGTGGCCTGGATGTTTAACTTGAGATTGTTCGGTTGGACTAATCAGGGATTCCATGGACCTGCTGGCAATGTTGCCTTCGGTCACCATCACCTGTTCCTACTTTTTCAGTTCGGGCCTGCTGGTCATGTGACCTTCGGCCTTTGGAGAACAAAATTTGTATTGGACCCGCCTGCTGACCTTGCTGTCTTCGGCCATGGTACTTCAGTGATGTTGCTGCAGTTAAATTACTTTGATCAGATTACTTGTCATGTTAGCTGCTGGATCCATCTGAGAGGGGTAGCTGGTTTATCTCTTCCAATCCCTGTAACAGTACCTTTACTTGGGAGTTTGGCTGCAGTGGTTGTTTTTTATATTAATGTGGCAAAGTAATTGCACTGTCTTTTGTTGGAATGTGAGGGGACTTAATGGCAGCGCAGAAAGATCAAGTGTGAGAAATGTAATCATATCATCAGGGGCAACCATAGTGTGCTTCCAAGAAACTAAGATTGAAAATTGGACTCGCCGCCAACTAATAGAGACGATTGGGATGGACATGATAAACAACTTTGTGACGCTGCCTGCCGTGGGGACGGTCTGAGGCATTCTTATTGCAGCATCGGAAGGATATTTTGGACTGCAACCAGCAGGAACCACGCAACACACCATCAGTGCGACTATTATTATGCTCGCAGAAAATGTAACATGGAGCATAACAGGCGTGTATGGACCGCAAACCGACCCGGAAAAGAGAAACTTTCTTCAGGAAATAAGATCCTTAAAACAATCGATGAAACCGGAGTGGCTCATTCTTGGGGATTTTAACCTTATTTACCGAGCACGGGACAAGAATAATGACCGTATCAACCTATATGATTAATAAGTTCAAACGCACGATTGATGACCTACAGCTGCTGCCGTTAGAAATGCATGGACGCAGATTCAATTGGTGCAATGATCAACAATCCCCTACAATGAGCAAAATTGACCACTTGCTAGCATGTATTGCCATTCGGGCATTCACACCCTGCTTGATGATCTAGAACCTTCATTTCGTTCTTTCATATGACGCCTTGGCACAGGATGCGCCCAATAACAGCCACCCATTGAGACGGAACCTAGCCAGGCGTGGCATGAAGATCGACTCTGCTTGTGCGGTTTGTGGGAGAGAAGAAGAGGATGGGCCATTTATTTTTTAAGTGCAAGACTGAAAAGCATGTATGGCAACTCATGTTGCTGGAAAAAACAGGAAGATCCTTGCAACGCTGCCATCATCGTGGGATGTGACTGAGTTCATCATGAATTCAGAGGAAAATAAACGCCTAAAGATGGTAGTCCTGATTTGGTTCCTGTGGTCAGAACGAAACACTATCAAAGAAAAAGGTAGGAGAAGACTGGCGGAAGTGCTAGCTAGAAGCGTCAGGATCTATACGGAAGAAATCATCAATCTGCAAAATACTGAGAAGCCAAGAAAGGAGAAGATGAAGGGAAGATGGAGCAAGCCGCCGGCGGAGGGGGTACTGAAATTGAATTGTGATGCGTCGTTTAAAGCTGAAGATCGTTCAGGGAGCTGGGGATTTCTGATTCGAGATAGTGATGGCGATGTGGTTACTGCAGGGAGAGGAAAGATCAACCATTTACTGATTGCTTTCCATGCTGAAGTAGTCACTTGTCTTCACGGTTTGCAAGCTGCCCTCAACCTCGGCATTGGAAGACATTCTGGAGACTGATGACCTGTTAGTCCAGCAAGAATTATCAGTTGCTGATCCTTGCGATAGACCGGAGGGTGGCCTCGTTGAAGAACTGGAGTCTTTGGTGTCGTTGAATTTTATCCGTTTTGATTGTGTGCTTTAGAAATGGAGATTGTAATAAGGCGGCCCATGCCATGGCGGCTTTGGGCTACGAGTGTGTCGAGGGGGACGAGATTAATTATCTCTACCTCTGTTCTGTGTGATGTTCATGTAATTGTTGCTGCCGACTCCTTAGCAGCCGAGTAATGAAAGTCACAGGTTAAAAAAAAAAAGTAAAATTACTTAGTTGACCTTTACTTCATTCTCTTCCCTCCTACTTACTCCCTCCATTCCAAACTATAAAACGTTTTGGCGATACATCGCTTTCTTATGTACTTAGATATATATGCACTATGTTTAGATGCATAGTAAAAGCAATGAATCAAGAAAAGCCAAAATATCTTATAATTTAGAATTGGTGGAATATAAAATACATAAGGTTCTTGTCGTCATCCAGAGTGGTCATCCGTGGTCGATGATGCAGGTTTTCTGGATCCATGGAAATAAAGGTAGGTTTTCTGGATCCTAAATTTGTTTGTTTTCTTTTGTATGGTTGCATTGGCCAAATAGTTAGATATCCAGTTAAACAGAAATTCACTTTGGGCGATGATGCAGTTTTCAATAGTTGACATTTGTGTTCACCTCTGATCGGATTAGGAATGTCTGTTGTCATTTCTGGATTGTCATAGTGGTAAGGTTTTTCACTTATAAAAGCACTGATGAGTCGATACTTTCTCATTACCATAGTTTCACAATTTACTTTAGAAGTAACAAATGGCTATGTGTTCGCTTGACTGTGAAAAGGAGGCTGGCCTATCGAGAATTTGGGAGGTTTTGTGATTTCTTTTATATTTCCTTATTAATTAAGAATCCCAACATATAAACAAGTCTATTGTGTTGAAATGATCATCTCTTTTTAAATTGAAAAGAAAGGCAGAAGTAAAAAATAATCATGAATAGACTTCAAGGCATAGAAACGAGTTTTGAGATTACATTTTGCATATACTTAGTACTTGAAAGTGCAGTCATAGAGAGATTTAAAAAAAAACCAGTCGTTGCTTATGTCCCTGTGATTTGATTGACCTGCTGTTATGCTATTGTTGTTGGGTGAAATAGTGTTTCACTACCGGAAACACCTAAGTTGCCGAGTGTCCCCACCTTTGCCGTGGGCAAGATTTCGGGCACTCGGCAAACATTCCCAAAGATGACACTCGGCAAAGACACAACTCACGGCATAACAGTTTACGCCGAGTGCTGACACTCGGCAAACAACAGACACACGGCAACTTCATGTCCGGGGTAACACCGTTGACCTCTGTTATCATTTTGCCGAGTGTCACCCGTTAACACACGGCAAACGAACCTATATGCCGAGTGTCAAAATACAACACTCGGCAAATCCTGATATATGCCGAGTGTCAGCATATGACACTCGGCAAACATTTTTTTTTTTGATTTTGCCCCCCAAACTTTTTGTACTGTTGTCTTACAATACCTGTTTCTCTGTGTTGAAGTTTTGTACATTTCTAAGTTATTTTACTATATTTCGTCAATTTATTTTAGTCAAATGAATTTTCGGTAATTTTTTTGTTTTGAACTGCAAGTGATTCGAATATCCGAAAAAAGTGAATAAAAAATGATATTCTTGTCACTGTGTCTGTTTTGAGACCGTATCTAGGGCCAGACCAGAAATTTCGAACATTGTGTTCGCGAAACATGAGCAGTAATGCATGGCGAAAAGTCTGAAAATTCTATAAAAAGCAAACGAAGTCTGAAAATCACGAAATTCGTCAAGTTGTCATGATATCATACGTGGAGGCTATGGTAAAAAATTGAGAGTGTTTCGGCAAAGTTGACACGTACGTTGCTTACAAATCGGATCATCTCCGGAGAAGTTTTCTGAGATTTGAGAAAGATCCGGTAAGATGAGGAGACAATTTGAATGTCGATTTGGAGTTTCACTTCAAAATTTTTTGTATATACAATAGAGAACAAATATCGCTTCTTGTGATTTTTTGGCAATTTTTCAGAGCCATTTCGTAATTTTAATTCCTTCGTCACAATTATTGAATTTTAGATGCGTGATATACAAACACATGAAATAATAGTCCAATTTTTGTACAAGCTTGAAATATACATTTGTGAGTGCACCTAACAAAGTGTAATGCAAGTTCATTTCATGAAGTTAGTGAAACATGAAATAGAGGAAAGTAATTAAGTAGAGGAAAGAAAAGGGCAGCATGAAATATAGAAATAAGTTTGCCGAGTGCTGCATAGGTGGCACTCGGCAAAAATGTAATAAACTTTTTTTAAAATTTCTTGTTAAGGGAGAACAGGGATTTTTTAAAATAGGGAAAACAGGAGGGCACTTTTTTTAAAAAGAAATGTTTGCCGAGTGCCCAATCGTCACGGCACTCGGCAACTAGGCGTTTAGGTTTTTTTAGGTAGTTTACCGAGTGCGCCGTCGGCCGACACTCGGCAAACTAATGGGATTTTTTTTTAAAAACGTTGCCGAGTGTCGTATCGGGCCGACACTCGGCAAACAGGCCACAAAAAAGCTAGGCCGCTGGCCGGATCTGGCCATTTCTCCATTCTATCCTCACAGACGCCACCGTCCGACCTCCCCTCCTCGCGCCGCCGTCGACCTCCCCCATGCGCCCTCCTCCTCCCCACTCCATCGTGCTCCCCATGCCCGCCGCCGTGAGCTCCCTCCCCACGCCCGCCGACCGCACACCTCCACCGCAACCCTCCGCCGCCCCCTCCATCCCCACCCCATGCCCCTCCCTCCCACCCGCCCGCCCGCCGCCGTCGACCTCCACCCCGCCCGGTCGTCGGTCTGCCACAGCCACCGGCTGGCCCACGCCCCTGTCCCCTTGCCACAAACCGAAAGCGCGAGCAAAACCCCACTGCCGCTTTCCGAGTCCTGCGCCACCTCGGTTCCCGGCCGAGGAGCCTTGCTCGACGCCACTCCGACGACCTCTGGCGGCGGCTTCTACAGCCTGTGCCGCCTCTCCGACGACAAATGTTCTCACGCGACCAGTAACTCAAAGTCGCCTGCTCGGTTGCTTCCGATTTGGGACTTGTTTCAGTTTTGATTTCGGTTTGAAAGTGGCTTCCATGTCTTGATAAGCATGACAGTCTTGTGAAGTACCAGCATAGTCCATAGGAGATGCCATAATTTTGTTGTTGATTTGAAGAACACATTGTTCCTAGTCTTAAAATGTTTATGTGCTGGAGTATTTGGATGCCAAATTCATTTCCCAACAAATCCCACAAAGTAGCTGCAAAGGAAAATTACTGTCGCTGGGTGGAGCATTAGTCCAGATTAGTTCAGCCTTATTTAGCCTACCCATGTTCATGATTTCTTTCTTTGACATCTCAAGAGGTGTTCTAATATAAAGAAAATAGAGTATTTTAGATTTTGATTTTATTGGTACTATGATCAACTGAAAAAATATACTTGCTAAGTGGTCTGTTATCTGCCAACCAATGGAACATGGAGGTTTGAGTATACAGAACCTGAACTTATAGAATAAATGCTTGTTGAACAAATGGCTTTTTAAATTGTGCAATGAAGCCGGTATTTCGCAGGAGCTGCTAAGA